CCTAAAATGTAAACATGTTCCGCCCAATGCCTCTTAGCTATTGCTTAAAGATATAAAAATAAATCGGACCCTGAGACTTCTCAGAGGGAACCTGAACATTGCTTGTGCAGGTTCTTTTCTCATCGCCGGCCCAGAACCTCTCCCCTTCCTACCCTACATCGACTGCAGCTAGTCTGCGGCAGTTAGACAAATGCTTTACCACTGAACTGTATCAGCAGCGTTTTTTAATTCTGAGACAAAGTCTCTCTAGGTTGCCCAGGCTGGCCTCAAACTTGTGATCCTCCTGCTTCAGCCTTTCGAACTTTATAAAGGTACTTGGAAGTAAATAGCCAAATGGAAGGGAGAAGCGGTCAAAACGCAACACTGGTGGACTTGAACCCACCACTTTTCAGCGGCCACCCAAGAGCTCAGCTAGAAGTCCAAAGTGCTACCCATCGTGCCACAGAGCCGGTTACCCTGGGTGCTCTCGGCTCACCTCTACTGAAACCAGCCCTTCAGTGCTCCTCCACGTAAAGCGCTGAGCCTTTGTTGCCTTCAGTTCGGTCGGGGCCTCCAGCTGGCCGCGCACCAGGGGCTTCTGTCGCCCAGCCACCCCTTCGGGATGCTCAGAGACTGCAGGGGGGCCAGGGGCGGGGCGAGCCCGCAGGGCGGACTACAGCTCCCGGCGTGCCGCGCGCGCGCGCGGTGCGGCCGGGGCGTGGCGTGCGCAGGGCCGACTGGGCGAGTGGCGTGGGGCTCGCGGGGCTGGACTGCGCCTCTGTCTCGGAACCTCCCGGCCGCCGCGACCGTGCGGGAGGCGGTGCCGCGGGCCGGCCCAGCCAGTTCGGCGGCGGGAGGCTGGCGGGGGAGGAGCGCGGCGGCGGGCGGGCCCTGCAGGGCGCAGAGCAGTCAAGTCTGGGCTCTCTGCGCCAGGGCGGCTGATGCCCTCCGCGCTCCCCGCTCCGTTGCCGCATCCGAGCTGCACTAGGACGAGGCTCCGCACCGCAGGGCCCACGCCGCCGGGTGAGCAAAGGCGCGGGCGAGGGTCGGGCGGGTAGCGACCAGACCGGCCTGGCGCGAGGGGCGCGCCCTGCCGTGTGCTCTCCTGTCCTGGCTGTCTCGGGATGAGGTTTGTCCCCCGGCCTGAGGGAGTGGGCGCCCCGCCCTTCCTCGCCCCATCTGCCGGCCTCCCTGGACGGGTCCCCCCGCTGTCCTCCCCTCCGTGGGAAGCCAGAGGTCTGAGGACCTTGGAGATCCTGGTGAGGAACTTGGGGCGCTGATTTTTAACCCCCGCTCTCGGCTTAGGCTTTTCTCCAGGAGATCGGTTCGGGGCTCCCTGTGGGTCAGGCCATCTCCCATCCTTCCTTATAGCCTCCCAGGCTACTTCACGGACTTGACCTTCAGCTCCTCCCAAGAATAGGAAAAACGGAGCCCTGTCAGCTGTCCTAAGCAAGTCCACAAAGAGCAGGAATAGCGCCCCAGGGTCCTAACCTGAGACAAGCCCGTACTGCACGGTCAATCTCCTCACCTAAGCCCCAGTCCCCACAGGTTCTTGTGTGTGTGTGTGTGTGTGTGTGTGTGTTCATGTCCGTGGGGGTAGGTGGTCTTTTAGGACCCTCTTCCTCTCCCTCAATCACACGCACCTCCCAACCCCCAACCCCCGCCCCGGCGGTCACCTCTCAGCACCTCCTGGCGCTAACTGGTTTGCTGCGTCGCCCTCTATCGACCAGTAGAGGCAGGAGGCTGCGTGAGTGGGTGGGCAGTGACCGAGCAGGGCTGCCTTTCGGGAAAGCTGCACCTCTGGGTGTTGTGGCTTTCTGTTCATCCCTGGAACCCCCGTGGGTCAAGCCAGAAGCCCTTAGGTCAGTAACCACCCCAGCTATCTCGGTTGGATGTAGGGCAGTGATCTGTCCTGTTCGGGGTCCCACTGACCTCTTGCACAGGATGAGCCTGAGAACTGAGGTGGGAAAGGGACTTGCCCAGGGCCACTTGGAGAGTAGTCAGAGGCAACACTAGAGACTAGAACTGTGTCCTGCTTTTCACCCCCAGAACTCTCACTTCACCATAGGTGAGCCTTTGGGATCACGGTGGAGTGGCTGCTGGGCCTGGGAGCCCAGGAGCTTTGGGATACAGGCATTTGGACTTGGGTTCCCTGACCAACTTGTGCCTGCAGATCACAATGCTGCTCGGAGCATCTCTAGTGGGAATGCTGCTCTTCTCCAAGCTGGTGCTGAAACTGCCCTGGACCCAGGTGGGATTCTCCTTGCTGCTCCTCTACTTGGGGTCTGGAGGCTGGCGTTTCATCCGGGTCTTCATCAAGACCGTTAGGCGAGATATCTTGTGAGTACCTGGTCTGGCCCTTCCTCAGGACTCTCAATCACACTGAACTCCTGAGCTCCAGAATGTCCACAGTCCAAACCCCATGGCCCCCACCAGCACAGGACATCTGGGCCCCAAAGAAGCAGCTTCTAAGCCCCACCCTTCCCCTGCCAGCTAGCTGTGCCTGGTACCTCCATCTCCAAGGTCAGAGCCTCCCAGGGATTCTCCCTAACTTGAGGTTTCTTGGGCTGAGGCAGGCTTGGAGACCTGGGACCCATGTCAAACACCAGGTGTTTTGAGGAGACATCCCCAAGGGGTCTTGAGGATACCTTTTAGTTTATGACAAAGTGCAGAGGAAGCTGTCCTCAGGTTGGCACGAGTTTGAGAGGGCACAAAGAACTCTGAATTCTAGAGCAGGGCCCTGAGTTAGAAATCTTTTTTTTTTTTTTGGTACTGGGGATCGAACTCGGGACCTTTTGATTTCAAGGCAGGCAAAAGAACCACTG